GTCAGTCAGTAGACACTAAAATGACGTCACATAAGGAACGCTTAAAGTTGGAATTTGTCAGTTAAACGTGTGCATGCCATGAATCACGAGAAGAATTATGCACCCTGTAGACTACAACATAGCATGACACATGAACTTCAAAAGCAACAAATAAAAATATTTGTTAGTGTTAATTTTGGTTTTATTTATTCTTGAAACAGAAGACTTTCAGGGACCCTGTAGAAGTACATCTAGTAAACATTAGATTTTATGTTAAAAGAGAATGTGAAAACATTGGACATTTACTTGGTTTGATACCTTGGTATATATTACTTGGTATATATATATATATATACATACACTAGAACATTTTTTTAAGGTTGGAAGTATTCAGTGATACTTGAATTTCAAATTTATTTTCAGGAGAGTAAATGTAGGGTTAGTTTAGTAACTTATGTTGAGAATGTTTCAAGTACTCTTAGTTTTGAGCATTATTTTCTGTGTATATCAATTTATATGAACAAGAAATCACTTTTTACTTTAGTCCTAACAAATCTATTGATCTGTCAGAAGGTTGGTAGTCAATTTTAGTATTGATAGATAATATTAATTTGTTGTTAATATGTTTATTAGAACGCAATAATATATGATATTACACATGATGCCTGTTTAAATTGTGCTGAACTTACAATCTTTTGTTTTCTTTGCTTGACATTTTTTGTTATGCTGTGTTTGTAAAGGGAACCATATCACTTACCTGTTATGTGTGTCTAATCATTTCCAGATGAGCCATAGCCAAAATTTTTACTTTTGTCAATTTGCACTTTGTGCAAACTGTTAACAATTTATTCAGGATATTTTCATTTTACATTCTTTCTTCACTAATTAGCTAAATAAATTGCTTTGTGTCCTCAGTTTGCCCTGTTCTCATTTTTGCTGTAGCATATTGCACTTTATCTATCTGGTTTAAAAGCCTTATTTTCAGTCATTGGCAAATGAAATTAAATCTTTAAAAATCTTTGTTTGAAGCGTAAATATTCAAACTGCACATTTTTTTTAATTGATATTTTGTATTTTTCTCTTCTTGAAGTTGAGATTAAAATGATAAATATTCTGAATAATAAATGCTGTGGCAAATGCATAACTTCACACTTAGGTAAGATTATTTAAATGTGCATAGTAATATACTTTCTTCAGTTATATATATATTGCACATGTGTAGTTCAAAAATTGATGTACCAGAATATTTATATGCAAGATGATTTTATGTATTGTTTACAGTAATGAAACGTTTTAAGTCTTTTAAAATTGTCTTTCTGTATTTATTTAAATTAAAATTCACTTTTTTCATGAAGGCTTTATATGAAACATCATGTATTAATGTGTATTTATACACACACACACACACTTTATGATACACCTTTTAAATTTTAAAAATAAATTCTAAACTCAAAGCTTGTTTGTAAGAAAGCCAACTATAATCTCCCATATTCTTGTAGTCTATTTTTGTGTGTGTGTATGTGTGAATTTCTAATTTTGCTGTAGTACTAAAGGCATGAATTGCCATTTTATTTTTAAAAACTATGGTAGTCGTTATTAAGACTCTTTTGACTTAGTCTTTGCTATTGATCATGAATCTTAATGTTTTACATAAACAGATTCATCACAGCATCAGTCAGTTGATAAGGGTATTTCAGCATCATCCACAATGAATAGTATCAGTGAAGGTGAGATACAAGAGGAAAAAAAAAATGGCAGCACTCTCAAGACCCAGATCCTTGATGATATATCTTGTTTTGAAAAACTTGGAGCAAGCACAGAACGTATCTTAGAATCTTTGTTTTGTACCTGGGGAATATTTGTTGCCAATCGCCCTATACCAGTTACAATTTTGGCCCTGTTGATGAGTTTACTACTTGGTTTGGGGTTAGTTTTCAAATTTAAAGTAACCACTGATCCTGTTGACTTGTGGGTATCCCATACTAGTCAGGCACGACAAGACATGGAATACTTCAACCAGCGCTTTGGGTGAGTGATTTTATGTTATTGTTTTAGTCTCTTAGTGCTCTTCTGAAAGTATCAAAATAATGAATCAAGTAAAACTGAATGTAAAGTGCCTTCACCTCTTGAACAAAAACTGATTTTTTTTTGCATTGGTTTGGTGTTTAACCTACATCATTTAGTTACCTATTGTAAAATGATAAACAAAATTGTTTGTTTGTTTGATTGTTGTTGTTTTTTTATTTTAATTTAGTTTTAATACCTCATGGACCATAATACAGTTTCTTTGTTCTGTTTATACTTACAGCTTTTAATAACTGTGGTGTAAAATTTCCTTTAATTTTCATTAGGCTCGGCATGGCCAGGTGGTTAGGGTGCTTGACTTGCAATCTGCCGATCGCGGGTTCAAATCGCCATCACACCAAACATGCTCGTCCTTTCAGCCATGGGGGCATTATAAAGTGGCAGTCAAT